TTTGAAGAAAAACATTGTCAACAACAAAACCAAAATAACAAATTTTATACTTTTGTTGCCGCCTACAAATAATAAACAAATATGTTTGTGATGTTGTCTTAGTTGCTTCGTTAGTGTTTGCGGAAGATTCGGTGAGGAATAACACTCATACGCACCGGAACATCTTTAGCGCACCTCAAGCGTTCAAGATTCAAATTAACACGAAAATGAAGTAAATTAAGACGATTAAGATACAAATAGGCTTGTGTACATTAGAAATTTACAGTTGCACATTATTAAATTACATAATGTATGTATTGTTGTTGTTGTTGTTGCTGAAATGTAAAATTAAATTGTGAAAACCCTTTTGTGGGTACCAGTTCCACTGTCTTTCATATATGGCCTACAGTGAACAATATCAAGTAAAAGGGATATGTGAGTTTTATCGTATTTATTACTTAAAAGCATTTTCCAAAAACTCATTAATTTTGAATTAAACAATTTCTAAGAAGGTAAAAGGGAGTATTTTATGTTTCTAATAGAATTTGTAAATTTAAAACAAATTGTTAAATTTATTAATCACTTAAATTTTACTTAAACAAATCAATTGCTGGGACTTGTTGTAATTGTGGTGGTAAGCAAAAATTTAATAAATTCATTAGAAATTTATTGTTTTGCCAGAATTATGTTTTCATTTCCGTGATCTGGCAGATGCACACTTCCATGGCTTCCATGGCTTCCATGGCTTGATATTTTGTTATTGAATTATATCCTATAATTTATCTTAATTTATTTCGCACTGAAATTAAAGCCAACCACTGTAGAGTGGAATGGTAGGTAATAAATGTCTTGCACAATAACAGTCGCAGCAACAATCTCCGCTTATCAGAAGTTAAAATGAAATGAAATTTGCTTTTCTACGAATTAATCAGAGAACTGGGAACTTAGCAATTTTAGACAAAAAGTCAGTCGGAAATACAAAATAAATCCACAGCTTAAAGTACATTTTTCTAAGATTATTTCTCTTCACTGAGTCACTTTCAAAATAATTAATTGATTTGCTGTGGTGTTTAGCGGACGCTGCTCTGTTACTTTCTGTATGCCTTATTAGCAAGTTAATTAATTGATTGACAAGAGCTCAATAAAAATGATGGATTGTAGTTAAGCTAATTTAGAAGGTACTCTAATTCCAATATTATACCTATGTGTCAAACAACATTGTGCCATAGCGAAGCAGAAGTGTAAGAAGATGTACTTAAAAATATATTAAATATAGTAAAATATTTTTTTCTTATATATATTAAAATTATTCATTAAATCTTATCTCTTAAACAATATTTACAAACTCTTAAGCATATTTTTAAATAAATTTCGTAAGGAATTTGTATGAAAAATGGTAAAAAATGGTGTAAGAAAAATGCTGCTTATTTGTCAAGTTAATTACAAGAGTCTAAACATAAACAGCAATAAAAACTGAAAAAAAAACTTAAATTAGAACTACTTACAAGTTAGGTTAGGTTAGCTAGTAGACCAAAGAGGTCACGCGTAGACCTTTACGGTCCACTGTGGTACCAGATCAGAGTCTTAATTTTTTAGCGATAGTGTGCAACGTTTAGGATGCGCGTGTTATTAACGAATTATATTAAGATTTCAACAGAAACCCCATATATGTGGTCCAAACGGTAAAACTGACAGCGTTCAAGTATTTTTATCGAGTTCTCGAGAGAGCCGGGCAGTTACACAGCTGATGCATTAAGGTTTTCTTTGCATCCGGCACGTCACACTTTCTAAAAGCATGTCTGCGAATTGGGTTTAGTGTGCGACCAGACAGAAACCTGTCAATACACTTCTACAGTACAATCTACAGTCCCTTCAGCTAGACGATATAACATCTTCGGTGTACTTTTTTTCGTATATGTGTGTACACATAATTCTAGCTATTGTACAGATGGATAAGTTTCACCACCTTTTCTTTGTTTGCTTTGTCATGTACTCATCCAGAAGTTTATGTATTTGTTTAAGAGGTCTAAGTACTTTCATTTATTCCTCTGAAAGTTTTGTGCCATTTTTAGCAATAGTATGAACTGTCTCATTTCCCTCTATGCCTTTTTGATCAGGAATCCAGTACATATAAGGGCTGCGGCTGAGTCCGGCTATAGCTTCCTTACATTCTATAACATTTTTAGATGGTGACCAGTATGATTTTATTATCTTAATGGCTGCTTGGCTATCCACATAGAAATTTATGCAGTAGTTCAGTCCCATGTCATATATATTAAAAGTTGTCTATAAAATCAGTCAAGTTTAGGTATGGTTTAAACAAATTATTGCAGGAAACAATATATTTGTGAAAATTTGTTCCCCTCGACTTCTAGCTCTTTTCATAATTTAAAAGATTTATTGCAAAAAAGAACGTAATTAGTACGTTAAACAAAAAATAAAACCTGGCGTAGATGGGTATATTGTAGATCTTCTATAAAATCGCTAGGAAGATGTGATACATAAATTGCAAAATCGATGAAATAAGTGAATTACAACTAAATAGAATCATACTATTAAATAGTAACTTCGACTATTAAAATCAAAAACTGGCTTTTTTAATTTCCGTTCGATTTTGAGCTTGACTTGTTTTTGAGCTTGACTTGTCGAATGTGGTGCGTCTTATGACGAAGAAAAAATTTAGAAGGGTTCGAACAGTAACGAAGAAGCAAACAACAAAAATTATTGATAAATTTATTGAAATTTAGCTGACCATATAACGCTGTTTCAAATATTGTCAAGTTCTCATCATCAGTGATTTTAAATTTTCATCTGATTGTTTATAATCTGCGTACAATTTGTTGGACTGTCCGTTCGTTTTGTTTACATACATATATGTGTACATATAACCTATTATGTATAATATATTCTATACCACAATATATAAAAATCACAAAAAACTTTCACAAACAAAGATGTTAAAACAAAATTTTTTTGAAGACGTCTTCGACACTTCAGTCAATGAAAAATGCTCTATTCGTGTTAAGTATCTTCCATATTACTAATTACAAAATAAACTTATAATTATGTATTGCAAACATCTTACCATCACTGGCAAAAAGTTGTCATCATTACATTTAAAGCTTCCTTTAGTACTACCACTTACGTCAACACCTAACTCATTTATCTAACTCTTGGGTGGAGAGCAGACAGAAAAAAGGACCTCAGTAAAAAGTAATTACTGCAAAAAGTACAACCTTAATGAAAATGGCAAAGATTTAAAATAGAAAAAGGTTAAAGTAAAAAGAAGAAAACTATTCTTCTTGTTATTTAGCAATTTTTCACTGTTATTGAAATAGAAAAAGCGTAATACCTTGACACGCTTTGAACGTCTTTTTTCCCAAAAAATCAAGAACAACCGCGTTCTGCTTGCCTCCACATGTTAGTTGACTGTCGCGGTGAGTATGGTTTTTGGTGCAGTTTCCTAGCGGTTGTGAGTTTATCATCGCATACAATCTGGCTATGATGAGATGAAGTGACGTGGCTTTAAAAAGGTAAAAATCATTGCAATGGTGCTTTTGTTGCATTTCAGTAACGGCAACTGAAATTGGGGAATAACAGAAAAAATTTCAGCAAAAAAAATAAAAATAAAAAAATCGACAGAAATGTACAAAATTTTGTTTCACTATTTTTTGCTATTTTTTACCATTTTTTTTTTTGTTTTAGTTAAAGTCGGAAGAGAAAAAATTTTTTTGATTAATTAAATCAGTTTTCATTGTTGGCAATGCTGTTACCGATGTCAAATATAATGAAAGCTGCATAACATCAAGTTGTCATGGCAACCTCAATGCAACAAAGAAAATGTCAATTGGGTGGATGTATTTTAGTATAGTTTTTTATACCGACAATTGATCTTAAATTTAATGGAATGAGATATACATGCAACCAAACTACAAATATTTATATAGAGGTTAATCTTATTTGTGCAGGCTCTCAGAAATATGATTGAGTTAACATTAACATTAGATTGCGAAAGTTTTAAAAACAAAATCTCATACTCCTACCTTCAGAGCGATGTTATAAGGGCAGTCATATGATGAATAGACACGGAAATTTTTCACTCATTCTAGTCCTTTCCATAAAGACACGTTATGCAAGGCGTCAAATCACAACTGTCAATTTCGTGCTGTCACTATTTATTTGATTCTTTTCGGTTGTGCCTTTATATGTAATATAAATATAAATAAATTTATATGTTATATATATATATAATATATTAATATATTTTTATAGAACAAGTAAATTGTTTTTATTTACATTTATTTTATATAAATATTTATGTTTATTTTATAGCTACTATTTTGCATTGTTACTATGTTCCTTAGTAACCGAGCTGGTTACTTGAGATTGTGAATACCACTGTTTAATTTTAAATTATCGAGTTAAGACCATAAAACTAATTCTCAATATTATATGAATCTAATTAAAGTTGCTTTAGTCCTCAAACAAATACCCAATATCTCCCATCTGCTGCATAAAATAATAAACATTTTGGTCAATGCTTTGTGTAAAATATTTAAATGAAATATTTTATTTTTATTTTATTATAAATTTGTAGGTTAGAAAATAATTTAATTAAATGATTGTAATGAACGAATTTCAAATGAAATATTTTTGGTTAATAATATTTTCAATAAATCATAATTATTTGACTCTTTTGGTATGTAAAGTTAAATGTATCTGTGGTTAACAAGTATGAATTTAATTTATAATATAAATCATATCAGTTTTAAATAATTGAAATAAACATTTATTTAAAATGAGTGTTTTGTTTTATACATAACACTTGCTAAGTTTTTAATTGCAATAAATATAATTAAATTCTTGAATTGATTAAGAATTAATACTTACGATTACTTACGATTTTTTTTATATGATAAGATTTAATTTACTTTTTACAAATTCAACTATAAATATATTATTTCAAATGAGAAAACAAAAATTTATATATCAACATTAAATAATTTCTTTATTGCGTCACTTATATCCAATTTTTGCTATATAAAAAGGATTTGCAACACTAGAATATTGTATTCCGGTGTTGTCGTATTTAGTTGTATAGTAAAATATAATGTGTTAAAATATTAATAAATAATATAAAAAGTGATTACTACTTGTATATTAAAATTTGTATGTATTTATCCAGGATATTTTGTAACAATTTAAGTTGCTTTAGCCAATCGTATAGTTTTGGTTACATACTCTACTCTTTATTATGGAATTTGAATGCACATCGCGTCAGCTGAGTAGTATATTTTAAATTATAATACAATATATATAACAACATTCTCCATATCACTTGTTAAGAATTTTATTTTTGTTCCTTGGCTTTTTGCTATGCTTTAAATGCATAGTGATTGTTTCTATATTGTATTATATTATTAAGTTTTTTTTTAATTCCTGAAATTTTTGATTTTTTTTTTGATAATTTTTGATTTTTTTGCTCTCTTATTCATTTTCGTTATCACCTTCTTGAGGTTCATCACTACCAACATTATCTTCAGCACCAGGATTACCAGTTTCTTCTGTATTTTGCTGTAAATTGTGTTCATCAATTACATCAGTTGCATGTTCACTACTTAACACTTCGTCACTTTCATCTGACACAATAAATGCATTACTTTCTTTTAACTCTGTTTCAGCATTGCACTCCTTTTTATCTTCTACCTGATCACGCATCTTAATTTCGGCTTCCTTTATATTTAAAATCGGTTCATCTATTTTGTAAACTCTACTTTTAGTAAATATACTTTTTACCGGATGCTCTGTGCTTGGTGGCTGAGCAAAAAAATTATGTGTAGTCACTTCATGTGCATGTTGCTCAAGAAGCCTTAACACTCTCATATTAATATCAGCATCAATCAAGTGAGGTACTACAAATTCGTCCTGACCGCGCTCTACCTGTCCTTCTTCATCATTTACGTTCTGTAATTCTCCTTGAAGTAGCATTTCTTGCAGATTTCGTTCTTCGTCTGTTATATTGTGGCCATTAGCATCTTCTGGTGAATTTTCTTCTTCGCTTACTAAGTCTAGCTGTGCTTCATACGGTAATTGTTCAGATATTTCATTTGGTTCGTGCGGTCCAACTAGTTCAGATTGCGAAATATTGTCTGGTTCCATTTCTGCTCCAATTATTTCTTTATTCTCATCATCACTATTTTTTGTAGTACTCTCAGCATTTGTTGTGATTCTTTCTACCATCTCCAAATCATCTTTATTATCTTCATCACTATCTTTAGCACTCTCAGCATTTACTGTAATTCTTTCTACCATCTCCAAATCATTTTCATTTTCGTCATCACTTTCTTCACTACTCTCAGTATCTGCTGTTATTATTTCCACCTTCTCCGATTCTTCATCATTTTCATCATCACTTTCTTCAGCACTTTCAGCAACTGCTGCTATCATTTCTATCATTTGTAGCATCTCTGATCCATCTACACTGTTTTCCTTTACAATTTCCGAATCATTGGATCCTGAAGGGTGACTTTGTTCTGATCGACCATAAGAAGGTTCACTAACTGTTTGTTGACGGCTTCTATTTACACTCTGCTCTGTGCTAATGGTATGTTCTGCATTGCGGAAGAAGTTAAAATTTGGCGGAAACGGACTTGGTACTGGTACATATGTGCTACGATGTTTAGTGTTCTTACTTCTATCGATTTCGTCAGCTTGTTTTTGTTGACGAATAGAATTAAGTGTTGAATAACCAATCATAAATCTCATAACATGGCTAAATGAACGACTAGTGACAAATTGTACACGTGGTCTGGCAATCGGCTGAAATTCCTCGTAAAGATTTCTAATTTCATTTTCATTCAATCCAACTGTTGGATGAATAGTGCTGGCAACTATTGAAGAATTTAATGTTATAAAATCTTAATCTATCGATGTTATTCTAATACAAAGTACTCGTTTCTTACCTTTTTTGGTGGCCCACTTTTTGCGTATTTTTGATGCTCTGCCCATTATGGTTACTAAGAAAAACTATATTATAAAAGAATAAATAATAAGTAAAACAATCTGTTGTTTACTACATTATATTTATTAAAAAGTAACTCATATTTATATGTATACATTAGTAGAAATATGAAATATTTTATTATATAAAAATAATTTATAAAACTTGTTTTCCATTTCAGGGTCTACAACCAAGAATTTCTATTAATTAACTCTGAAGTTATTTAAAAGAGGTAATTTTCTATTATTGTTTGTTATAAATGTATTTATTTATGTAAATATTTTAATAATTTTTAAATTAATTTTTAATTTTATTAGTATTAATTTTTAAATAATTTGTTTTATGAAAAAATATTGGTTATGGATAGCATTTTAATTTAATGGATTTGATTTATTCCATTAGTCAAGACTATTTTTCTTTAATTGGTTATGATATTACATTTTATGTAATAAATATTTTATATTTATTTTAATTTTTATTTTATTAGTTCAAAATAAAAAACGTTAATGCTATACATTTGTTATTGAGATTTCGATCAAATATTTATTTCACTATACTATAATACAATAAGGTGAGAATTTTTGGCAGCTTTCTATATATAATATAATTGTTATAAATTTCTACTACTGCTACTGCAATAAGGTGAGGAAAACATTAAGGGTTTTCTAAGGGAAATCTCAGGAAACTGCATCCTTTTGATTATTGAGCGGATTTCAAAGCGTTTACTTTCAAAGCGTATAAGTATTGTCCATATAAACATAATTCTCTGCTTAACCTCGCAAAGAAGTCTAGTAGTGACATATTACATGATCATGTTGGCCAATTTAGATCACTAAAAGTTGAATCAAAACAACAAAGTCAAAACAAGGCGTATTGTGTACACTCAGAAAAATAATATGATTGGTTAAAATATTCTTATTCGATATATCATGTTAGTCGTGATACCACACCACATGTTGGTTATCATATCTTCTTTACCACATGAACTAAAATTTTTCTAACAAAATGATTAGGACAATTTTACCAGTGTGTGGTTAGGGCATAGATTTCTGAGTATAGCTGAAGGTAACACCGTGTTGAAACCACATATCTTCCCTATCCGCGAAAATAAATCGTTTTGAGTCGTACTTTCAATATATTCAAAAAAAAATATGGTATAATCACATTTCAGACGAAATGCCATACCATACATTGACTTTTTCTGAACGCAATAGGCTTTGGACAGTTACTGATAATAAGTATATTATTTCCCTTAATTTTTAATAGATGAAAAAAAATGAAATTAGTTATAATATTGTTGTTAGAGGGCAGAAATGCAACGAAAGTTAATTAAATTTTTTTTTTTGACGTGTGGTGAACAACAATAAAAGTATATTTAATATTTATGTGAAAAATTGAATGGAATTTTTTTTACTATCGGCTTAGCTAAATTTGTTGAAAAAATAAGTATTAATAAATAAAAAAAAAAAACAATGCAACTAGCTAAAAGGAAATTCATGTAAATGTTTAAATTTATCATTTATGCAAATAATAAATAATTTAAATTAATTTGTTGAAGGATAAAATAATATGGAAAATAGAATATGAACAAAGTGTACATATATATTATTCTATAAATAAGTAAATTCATATATTTAAAATTACTAAATATGAGTATGAATAAATAATATATAAAACATTACAAAATATTAAATAAATAATTTTATACCAATAATATTTAACTAGAATTACTCAAATATTTAACCCTTTTGTTAGTAAGTTAGCGGTCCATATGTTATACTTTATTATGTGACATAGTTATTCGATATTCAACATTCAGTTCCTGAAATTCCCATCTCCACTAAGCCTACTAACACGGTTGCCACTTGAAAATTTTTTTCTGTACCAAAATTGGTTTAAAAAGGTACCATTTCTTAAAAAATTTTGGACCTTTTTGTTTTTTCGTTCTGTTTTCATTTCATAGTGTTATAAATGAACAAAATATAAAATAGTGCAAAGTTGCATTTATAAAAAAAAATAATTGGTAATATCCACAATAAAGTTGGGTCGTCAAAAATGCACAATTTTTTTAACATGTGTACCAAACGAAAAAAAAAATACCACTTTTGGTACTAAAGTACCAATTCAGTCAAGTCAGTCAATTCAGTAAAAATTCAGTCAAGCGAATGAGAATTATAATTTTTGAAATAATTTCTAACAATAATAGGCAGAGTGAAATAACCAAGAACATGAAATTCTTATATGCAACCAATTATTAATATTGTTATGTATTAATGTTGAAGCAGTTAATGAATATTAATATCCAAAGGTTACTATGAGTACAGTTGTGTAGTATTGTTTAAGTGATATATATTAAAGCATACACGTATTTTACAGTTCATAGCAATTCTTAACATATCGTTCACAGGTGCTTCATAGTTATTATCGCTATGCATGCTTGCCAATCTATTGTTTGACTTTTCGATTGTAGTACTATTGTTCTATCTCTTTTCACAAACTATTGTTCTACTGTCGATCGATCGATCCTACTGTTCTATTTTCAACAATCTGCAGTTATAGTATTTTCTTATTAATCTTCTATGACAGATTTGTCCTCTAATTACAAATAAACATTTTGAATAATAATTCTTTTATTATTTTTTTGAAGTGATCAAAGACTAATTAGCAGGCATTGTCATGTATATATATATATATACCTTTTTGTGATTACTTGATTCAGAGGAGAGATTGTTAACATAATATTTTTCTACATATAATAAAGTCAGTGGTTTTAAAAATTTTTAATATGTAAAAAAAGAACTTTTCAAGAGCACTAAAATATACTTAATATTATTACTGCATAGTAATCTGATTTGTTATTGGCAAATGTATTCAGTTTAAATACTCCTATTGTTTTCTTCAAACCCACATATTATTTTTATTGCTTGCTTGAGAATGTCCTTTTGCATAAAGTATGCAGAAGAATATTCCTTAAAATTTGCATATTTTTTTTAACAAATTTGATTTTTGTTTAGTTTACGTGCAGTGACTATGTTGCAGTTTTATAGAATTTAACTTGAATTTTCCAATATTCCCATTCTGAAGAGAAAATACGAGCATTATTTCGTCCTTATTCAAAATGTTATATTTTTCCTGGAAACTCAACCTTATTTGCGGAGACAAAAACGTAAGCAACGCGACTTGAATATTAAAAAGTGCCAAATACTCTATTTTTGTTTGAAAATATTTTGGGTAAATTGCATTAAAAGTTTTATAAACTTTATTTTAATATTTGTATATAAAATTTTGGGAAATTTTCCACCTTTTTTTCGATTGAAAAGTCATAAAAAATTGAATGGTCCCTGCAGTGGTAGAACGCTTACTTTTTTGCCGAATTGGAGATTTTTGACCCTTTTTGGTTATACAATAGTTTGGTTTATAATTGAAAATGTAATTTAATTTTTATTTGGTTATTATTTAATTTGTTTAATTTTTTTTTAAAATAAAATCAAATCCGCAAATATTTCATATATTTGAGTAAAAATAAATTTTTATAGCTCACACTTTTATATCTGCTTGTAAACCAACAAATTTTTTTAAATTTTAATGCTCAAACATGTAAGTTAAAGTTTTTGTAGATGAATTCAAATAATTCTCAAAAAACTTTTTAAATTATTTAAACTACAGTTTTAGAAAATCACACAAAGTTTAAGTGTAAAAAAAATGTTGAAATTTAGTATCTGAAATGCCAGCCACCTAAGACTAAACCATTTTCAACTAAACTGAATAATTTAATCCACTTTTGGGGTGAAGCGAAATTGATATGTCAATCATGTGGACACCGCACTTATGTGTCAAAGTCAGAGAATTTTCTGTAGTCGAACAAAATAATGAAATCGTAAAATATAGGAACTCTATTTATATTGAGTGAAATTTGATCATTTCAAATTACTACACAATTTAGGATTTGTGTAAAATGGTACTGATTATTGTTAAGTTACGGGGAATCCAAATACATATATATAGAAATTAGTCGTGGAGGAAATACGATCTAATATTATTGCTCAATTATTGCTTAATATAATACGATATAATATAGTAGACTACTTGGGTTTCAGTGAAACGGTTCATTACAGTTATCGTATATCTTTTGAGTCAACAAATTATTGTGAAATCCTTTAACTTCTAGGAGGAATAAGGTCGCCTGGGTGAACAAATAATTCCAACCAAACAGAAGATTTTCTGTTTTTTTAATAAAGATCACAAAATTGCTCGTTGACAATGGGAAATCAAATGTGACAGAAACTCTTAGTGTTTCCCTTTTGCCTCGGATTAAAGTTGGTCATTCAGAAAGAATATTGTTATAATTTTTACTCTGTTTCAAGCAGAAAAATTATTTCCGTTGCAGTCAGATCGTTTTATCCTTTTTTCAATAAGGATCAGAATATTTATTGATGACAGTTTCTTAATATTACAAGGGGACAAAAGCTTCTTATCTTTTTTTCGGTTCGGAAAGAGGCATTTACAAAGAATGTACTTAATTGGCTTATACTGTCCAAAGCAGAAACTACATTGTCACTAACGATAGATTTATTTGACAAGTCACTGTGATGGATTATGACGACCGGTTGGGTTACTATCACACATTGTTAATTCTGTCTTAAAAAAAAGTGATGTCCCTTTCTTTATAATTCAAAAGTGATTATATATAGTCTAGCGTCAGTAAAGCGGTAGTTGATTTCTAAAGTAGTTTCTGTACTCCTCAACATACTTTTTCGTCGAGTTTATTAGTAGATTCTGTTTTCTTTGATTATCTGGAACAAGGCAAACTACATAAACACTGAATACTGAATTTAAAACAAAATACATGGATATATACAATTTAGTATCAGTATGCAAAATAATATTCGGTTGTTCCGCAAAGATCTACGTGTTTTGCATTAAGTAGTTAGGAATAAATTTTAAGATTAATCACTGATATTTAAACAGGAGATGCATCTGCTAACCATCACTATCCAAAGATGGAGCAAACGAAAATTGTTTT